CTTGTAGCTCCCACAGGAAACTGACTGAGCGTCGAGCTCTCCTGCAAAATTCCCTCATCTCATTCGGGTGCCTCAATGGGAGTGAAGATCTTGAGCAAATGTGTCCCCTTTGTAGGTGCTGAGCACAGTTAGAAATCTGACCTCACTGCGCTTTTCCATTGACAATGAAGCAAAGATTCCTCTCGTGTAGGTTGGACATTAAGAAAAATTTCCCAACTGCCTGAGTGGTTAAACACTGGAATAAATTGCTTAGGGGGGTTGCAGAATCTCCATCACTGGAGATATTTAAGAGCAGGTTGGATAGACATTTATCAGGGATGATCTAGATGGTGCTTGGTCCTGCTGGGAGGGCAGGGGACTGGACTTGATGACTTCTCGAGGTCCCTTCCAGTTCTAATATTCCATGATTCCTTTGAATGGTTTGTACCCTGCATTCAACATTTTTCCCAACACACCCACTGGGATCACAGCCTCAATGCTCAAAATACCTGTCTCTGGGAAAAAATTTGGTGTCTGAGGCTAAATTAGTATTATTTTTAAAAAAAAATCAAACGCACATCAGTAGCATTTAGTAGGCGTGAAGCATCAAAACGGAGAAAGATTATGTCCTTTCTCTTGCATATCGGTCAATTAAATCCCCTGAAAATCCAAACATAAATCAATAAAATAAAGTCAGAAAAATATCAAATGATCTGGGCTACAAAATGTCCATATCCTAATGAGGCATTTAAATGACATCTTACATTTGTTCGGCGAGAGTTGACATAGGATGTCATTATAAGGTACTGTTAGAGCTCTCTAAATCTCAACAGGAAAAAAAATATCCCAGGGAGAAAAAAGGACCAGTTATGTTCCCAAAGGTGCCCCAGTAGATTCATTGCCTTTTTATTATGATGATTATTATTGCTACCTTATTCATCAGAAATATCTGTAGTCCAGCTAAAGCAGCGTAATAAAATCAAAGCAGCTGCTGCCAGAAAAGGAATTCATTTTCATTCATGTTTTGAAGAGGATCGTGGCTCTTCTATCAAGGGTTTTAGTGCTGAAATCTCAACAGGAAATGTCCCAGTGTTTTCACAAACATTTCATCAGTAATGTCGGATGTGAACTTCAGAACTCTCCGTTCCTCTAGATCCCTCCAGTTCAACAAAGCCTTTAAGCATTTGCCATTGCATTCTTCACTCTGGCTGGGGAAAGCAGGGGTCAGATAAACCTGGACTTGCCCCGACCGGGAGACATGCCCCTCTCCCCCGTCTGTGACCCCTGCGGCTATAGAGGCCATGGAGAGGTGCTTCTCACCTGGCCCCAAGCTGCTGTGGTGAGAAAGGGCTGGGGTTGTCCTCTCTTCCCAGGGCAGCCGCATCCTGAACCCGCATCCCCAGCCCCACCCCAGAGCAATGCTTCAAATGAAGTATGGACATTGTCATTTTATTTTCCTAAAAACACCAATGGAGTTAAGGATCTGACCAACGCCGGGTCAATCTTCTAGTATCTTTGGTAAATTAAAAACCCGTTTTCCTCAGTAGAGAGGGTGGGCAACATCCATGTGAGCCTTCCTGTCTTAGACATAGCTTATTTGGGTCTCGTCAGCTCATGTGGCACTGGATGGTCCCCCTGGCTGAGTGACAGGTCTTGTCTACACAACCGGTTTTGGAGAGCCACAAATAATACGATTTCACTTCCGAATCCCCACAAGGTGGAGTCAGAGGACACTACTGCCTTTCCGGGCCTCCAAACTGACAGAGTTCATGAACTTTCTCCCCTCTTAGACTCCAGCCTAAAGAGACAGCGTGGAGAAATTAGAGGAACTGCAGGCCTTTAGCAAGATGGTCGTCAGACTTCCCAACTTCCCCAGACCTGGTAGGCCAGGCGTTGCCGAGTGCGCTCTAGCTTCCTTCATGATGCTCTTCATGGCTAAAGCCCAGAGCACACCAGCTTACCCCTCTGATCCGCACGGCCTAGCGCCATGCCCGTTCTCCCCATGGAATTAGTGAGGTACAAAGAATATCCCTCCTCTCGGATAGCTGCCGTTTTTCCAGCTCCCATGATTTTATTGTGATTTGTGTCATATTTTGGTGTCTTTCCTTAAAGATCAAGCTGCTGGCAACAGGTGAGATCTCATTTTAAAAAGTTCCTCTCCTTGGGGGTTGCACAGAAAGGGGCTGAATCCCAGCCAGGCCATGAAAAGATCCTCCTCCTTTTGGCTGACTTGGATCCTGAGCATGTGGGGACCAGCATAATTGCAGCTGCTGGAAGGGAAAGCTTGATCTTCATTCACCCCCCTCCCCAGCGTGGTCCATACAACCTCCCCTTTTGTAAATCCAGCCCAGGATTGCCTGCAAGCAGGAAGCAGCAGGGTTTAAATGAGCAGGCTTCTTGTGGAGCTGAGCACTGCTGAGAGACACCCCAGCGGGAGCAGAGCTGGCCGACAGCCCTGGATGTTCAGAAAGAAGGGAGCGGGGGACGGGCCCACGGGGCTGCTAGGAAAGGCCTGTGTGATCTCCGCGTCTGTGCATGTGTCTTCTTGCCACCTTTTGCTTGCCAAACCACAGAGCGCATAGAGCATCTAACACTACCAAAGCCCTGGAAGTGAAGTCAATAGGAATCTTTTTACTGGCACCCAAGGGCTTTAGGCCAGGAGATCTCCTTCGTTAAGCACCCCACACAACCATCTGCAGGGAGGAAGTCATTTGCAATACATTGAAACACATTTTATTGGTCCTGCAAAGCCTGCGGCTGATTCTATCTACTGGTGCGGCATCTACTAAGTGTTTACCTCCACAGACACCTCACTTGAAGAGCTCTCTTGTACCATCCAATGATGCGGCTGGAGGGTTTGGAGCCAGAGGGTGAGGATTTTACTCCACTCATTTGTTTTTCACTCTGCTGAACTCACGCTAGTAACACTCATTAGACCAAGAAGGATACAGACATGTTGGGCGACTTAGGCTAGCAAGTGGGCCACACGAGGGGCCCTCCTTCATCTCAGCAGCATGCAAGACTATTGCAACAGAGGCAGTCTCCCGGGACAGGACAGTGTTGCTCACTGCGCTTGCGTACCCAGGATGCATCGATTGACCCGGAGCAGCGCTTCGATTGGATGCACTGGGAGCGTGCGGCTCTCACAGTCGCTGTTGTGTGCCAAGAGCATGCGCCTCGCTTCGTCTGCCCTGACTCCATGTACGGGTCACTTGAGTAATCCCAGTGGGGGAAAAAACAACAGTCGGAAACCAGCAGCCTTGCACGTGGGCACGGCCAAACAAAAAGTCTGGTGGGCCTCCCATGGAACCCTGATGGGCCCCATGAGGCCCTCAGGCTGCCCACCATTGGCTTAATGCATAAAGGATGCATCTCTCTTAACCCAGGTTGTAGCAGGCCCCCTTCTCTAGCAGGGTCAGTCCCCTCCGGTGAGAGACATGGGTTACACATGCATCTGCCAGCGTCTCTCTTTACCCCCTGCTTTGTATGGTAGCTGACTCCACTTCCCTCTACCTGCCTAGCAGGGGGACCTGTGCACCAGGGGCTCAGAGGGAAGTGCTGTGCATGCACCAAGATTGGGCTGTATGGGCGCCAGGCCTGGGTAGGTATCCAAGAACACGGGAAAGTGCTGTGCATGCACCAAGATTGGGCTGTACAAGCGCCAGGCCTGGGTAGGCATCCAAGAACACATCAATCGAGCAGATTTCTTTACCAGGCTGCCAGGAATTGACGGTGCAGACACCCTAACTTGAATGCTTTAACAATTACAGCTAACGGATAAACCCTGGAGTCTCTGCAACCCAGACTGTCGGGGAAGTCCAGTCCAGGGATGTGAAGTAACTCCTTGACTCCTGCTGCAGCTCTGGTCTCCTGCCAGCTACATGGACCAGCTTTATCCAGCTCTCCAGCTGCCTGCTGACCAGCCCTCCTTCGTCTGCAGCTCCCAGAGGGCTGCCTCTAGCCAGATCTGCAGCTCACTTGCAGCCTGGGAGCATGTCCTCTGTGATTTCATATTTTTCTCCCCTTTCCTGATTGTCAGAGTTTATGGAGCCCTCTTCTAGCTGGCTCTTGGGGGTGCAAATTTGCATTATGATCCAACAGGCTCCTGTATTCTACTCTCTGGTGGACACAACCATTTTTCCTCAGCAATTTTTGCCCATAACCTTGAAAACCTTCCCTCAATCAGTATGCTGGGTGGCTTCTCCATTTGATTACCTATTCCAGAAGCTGGGTCCTTGAATAGTTATTACATTTCCCACTCTACAGTCCTCAGGAATCTCTTCCAAATCTAACAAACATTGCAAAAAACTCAAATTAAGGAGAGACCGCCAAGGACATCTGCCACAAAAGCTTAGCCTGCTCTTCAAGACCCTGGTTTTCATTAGCCACACCTCCTATCAATGTTTAACAAAATGGGTGCACCTGACCAGTGATTCCTAAAGTGGGAAAGGGTCTGCCTCTTGAGCCAGGGCCAAAAGGGGATTTCCACACTTTGGAGAACGGGATGGCCTCCTTTGCCCAACATGACCTCTCAGATCCCAGACAGGTGAAGTCATGCGGACGCATGGGATGGGATGGGAAATTGGAATCGAAGCCTTCCCGACAAAGGGTTCATCAAAACGGAGTCTGATATTTGTCTGCAAACAGTTCCGATTGTGACAAGTCGGCATTTTATAAGGAGTTCTCAATAATACCTCCTTCTCCTTGAAGATCATGGTCTAGATTGGCAACACAGTCAGTCCCTATCTGTTGTACAACTCCCAGAACATTGCATGGCCTCATCTCTTTTGTAGCTGTGACTATAATATCAAGACCAGAAAGATCTTCCCCTTTTTTAGGGGAGTCATATGTCCTTTATACCACCCAGCTAACAGCTCTGGGAGTCAACAGCACTCTTAAAGTGTCACTGTTACTCCCAATCTGAGCCCTTGTGTGAAGTGTCATGAAACAGTTCATTTGACAAACTTTTCCAAGCATTGAGGCCCCCAACATGCCCCTAGCCAGCCATACAGAGTACTTACATGCTTTGTGAAATTTGTGTTTCACATCAAGGAGGGTGGATGATGGAGGGACCTGAAAAAGAAACAGACAGGAGCAGATTAGTTTTTACTCCTCTTCCCATTCAGGAAGGTGGGGGAGGGGAGAAATAAAGCACATTCATGTCACAAGGCGGTCATTTTAGTTTGCCGCCAGCGGTGTCAGCTCCTGCCCAGGTATACCCCAGTGACCTCACCGTGCTGATTTGTACATAAATGCTCTTTAATCTGAGATATCTGAAGGGAAAGTCCCTTCCCCAAAGATCAAACCAATGGGACTATGTGTGGAGAAGGAACTACACACTATCAGTGAAGGTATCTGAGTCTGGCCTTAGAGATGGGAACATGTCGGAGTTGGGCTGGTTTCCAGTGGGGCTACTTAGGAGTAATCACTGCACATGTGTATTCTCATAAACACCTGTCAAGCTACAGGTTGAACCTCTAAGCAAAAGGGGTACCACCAGTGGGAGCTGCATTCAGGCAAGCTACAGGTTGAACCTCTAAGCAAAAGGAGTACCACCAGTGGGAGCTGCCTTCAGCATTTGATTTAGTGGGTCTATACTAGACCCGCTAAATCAAATGCTAGAATCACAGAACCATAGAACACTAAGAACTGGAAGGGACCTCGAGAGGTCATCAAGTCTAGTCCCCTGCCCTCATGGCAGGACCAAATACTGTCTAGACCATCCCTGATAAATGTCTATCTAACCTACTCTTAAATATCTCCAGAGATGGGGATTCCACTACCTCCCTGGGCAATTTATTCCAGTGTTTAACCACTCTGACAGTTAGGAACTTTTTCCTAATGTCCAACCTAAACCTCCCTTGCTGCAGTTTAAGCCCATTGCTTCTTGTTCTATCCTCAGAGGCCAAGATGAACACGTTTTCTCCCTCCTCCTTATGACACCCTTTTAGCTACCTGAAAACGGCTATCATGTCCCCCCTCAATCTTCTCTTTTCTAAACTAAGCAAGCCCAATTCTTTTAGCCTTCCTTCATAGGTCATGTTCTGGTCTCTAAGAAGATATTTAGGGATAAATTAAAGCTAAATAACAGCACAGAACACTGAGAGCCAGGCGTGGTGGCTGTAGACAAACTTTATGGGACTGTGGGAAACTTGGCTACACCCATGCTAAGTGGACATCTGGCTGACAAAAATCATGCCAGACCACGGATGTTGCTGAACCAGAGAGTGCCAGACTAGAGACTTTCAATCTGTAGCAAGCCTCTTTGTCACATGCTTTGAGGTCTATGGACAATGGTAGGTGTTAATATAGGAGTACCTTAAACAAGAGATCAACAAATGCAACAACTCTATATAAGGAGAGTGTGTCCTGGGGACTATGAGTAAAGCTCATCAGTGACCTATCCTTTTTTTATATCTTCTTTCACATTAATAGGTCTAAGAAAGTCCATCAACAATACTTAAGTGTGTTGCATCTGTCTAATGCTGAAGGATGATTGTTTAGTGACTGAGGTTAAATGAATGTCAATAAGGATTTTTAATTATAGAATTTGAACAAATAAATGATCTTCCTATTCATCAATGTAAGTGAATTTTAATTCGTTTTTGAAGTTTGTGGAAGGCCAACGCTGTTGAATTATGCACTCCCCGTCTGTATGTATTTTCAGGGACTGTTGAAATTCTGAAACTCTGCCATTGAAACTGTTTATTATATTCATGGTGCACAAACAGAGAAGTTGGGTACAATAAGGAAACTACTCTTAATGAAAGGTGGAAACGTAACAGAACTTTATTTTGTAGAATTCAGAACCCGTGCACACAAAAGCCACAAACAGAAAGCGTCAAAACAGGCTGCTTCACGCAGCAGAGCCCCACACCTCATCCCGCCTTGCTTTAGGCTGTCTGTGTGCAGACTGACTCTGCTCACGCCCCACAAGGAAGACCAGGAAACCCCTTCCCATTTAAAGTGATCTCTTGTAATTTGTACACCCTTGTCAATACACCATGCTGTTTATTAACATCAGACAGTCGGCTCTTCAGTGGCCATTAATTTGCTCAAGTAGAGTTATGTCATTTTATACCACTTGAAGATCCAGCCTAAAAAGTAGACAAACTAGTGGGAATGCCATTTATTTGTTCAAATTAAGCATGCAACAAGTATCTCTCCATTACTACTTGTATACAGCCATTGCTTAGGGCATACAGCACTATCAATAATAGGCAGCAACTGATGAAAACTCAGTGTGACCAAAGAGCCATTCTAAACTGTCTTCATTTTTTATGCTCTGGACTGGGCTTTCACTGATGTGTTCTTCTTTGTACGCATTTTCAGAGTATTTCCTCCCTACATGCTCTCCAGCTTGAGCTTGAGCCAGGAATAAGGCTTGTGACAATTACATTCCAAACATTCCACAAAGTCAACCTGTGGAACTCCTCACCACAGGATGTTGTGAAGACCAGGACTTGAGCAGGGTTCAAAAAAGAACTAGATAAATTCATGGAGGAGAGGTCCAATAATCCAATAATGCTAGGAATGGTTTTCCTAGCCTCTGTCAGAGTATGGGAATGGGTGACAGGAGAGGGATCACGTGATAATTACCTGTTCTCTTCGTTCCTTCTGGGGCACTTGGTACTGGCCACTGTCAGAAGACAGGACACTGGGCTAAATGGACTTTGGTCTGAGCCAGTCTGACCATTTTTATGTTCAACATTCAAAGGTAGATGTTATTTTATTAACAAGAATTCCATGCTTATGGGAGATTACTTACATGAAAATTTCTTCAGTGACTGGCAGTAAACTAAAACCATAGCTCAGTCCAAACAGATCCATTTCCTAACTCCAGTGATCTTTGGATCAGACCCAAGGGCATTTTGTTTTGAACATCCAGACAGTTTCTTATTTCATCTCAACCTATTGGTCTAGCTCTAGTAACAGACAAAATAGTTCGCACATTATCAGTGGCTAGATGGAAAAGCTACCTGAAAAATATTCAGGACAATTCAAGAAGGCTGTGTCCAGACTCAGGGGTTTTTTCGGGAAAAGTAGCCTTTTCCCGAAAAAACTTCCCCTGCGTCCAGACTCAAGCCGCGTTCTTTCGAAATAATTTCAAAAGAACGCGGCTTTTCTTTTGATGGCGGTAAACCTCGTTTCACGAGGAAGAACGCCTTCTTTCGAAAGTTCCTCTTTCGAAAGAAGGCGTTCTTCAATGTAAATAGGGCTTCCTCGAAAGAGAGCATCCAGACTCGCTGGGTGCTCTCTTTCGAAAAAGTGGATTGCTCTTTCGAAAGATCCGCCTGCAGTCTAGACGCGATCTTTCGAAAGAGGCTCTTTCGAAAGAAGCCTGCAGTCTAGACATAGCCGAAGGGGTAAATCAAGGTCTTCAATGTAGTTTAACTACTAGAAGGAACGGTTCCTAATAATTCCACTGTTTAATACAGCATGTAACCCTTTAAAAAGACCTGTTGGAGTTCATGTTACATTCAGATGATTTGCATTTCTTCATCTGTGAGGTGTATACAAGGCTATAGCTGTTAGGCAACTGAATTATATCAGAAAACAGCTGTACAATTCATGTGTGCACCAGCCGGAGAAAAGCCACAATCGAATGTGCTCAGAATGTCTAAGGAATCTTGCAGAAGTAGTGTGCCCCTATCGTATATGGATTGTAGTGGTGCTGAAAATGTAGGTTTCTGCTGTTGCCATTGATATCACTGCTGGATCGTGAGTACTGGCAGCTGGACAGGGTTATAAAACCTGTCCTCGTCTTCAGACACAACCTGAATATATTTCCGAGCAGAAAGGAGCGGTTCGGGCTACTTCTCCTCGCCCCTCGCTGATGCATTGCAGAGCCAAAGTGGGGAGACTGATGTAAAATGAAATAGCCTGCTATTGCAGAGAACAGCTCCAAGAACAGTCAATGCCCTATTTTAAAGGTGACATTTCATAGAATCATAGAATCCCAGGGTTGGAAGAGACCTCAGGGGGTCATCAAGTCCAGCCCCCTGCCCAAGGCAGGACCAATCCCAACTAAATCAACCCAGCCAGGGCTTTGTCAAGATGAGACTTAAAAACCTCTAGGGATGGAGATTCCACCCCCTCCCTAGGAAACCCATCCCAGTGCTTCACCCCCCTCCTAGGGAAATAGTTTCTCCTAATATCCAACCTAGACCTCCCCCGCTGCAATTTGCTCAGTTACTAATGAATGTGACATTTATAAATACAGCACACAGGTCAGGGTGTGGGCAGTTATTTTTACTTGCTAGAGATGATTATACATGTGTGACTCATGCCTGCTTTATTTAGCAGCATGTGAGCTTTGGAGGAAAACAGCAACTTTATTATCCCAGCTCAGTGAAGGGCCTTCTGGGTGAGCTATGTTACCGGGGACTCGTTTCTGTAAAATCAGGATTGTGCTTCCATATGAGTATAAAACAAGAGCAAATCCACTGAAATTACGGTGGTTGGTAGCCCTAGAAGGCCCCGCCATGGAGCAACACCACCTTGTGTGAGGTGCTACACAAATGAAGAACCAACAGATGGTCCCTTGCCCAGTTTGAAGGCTCAGTTCGCCAACAGAGTGGCACCAGCGTAAAACTGGTGTGAGCGAAATCCAAATCAGGCTTAATGCTGCGCTGTGGCTTTCGCTGATTACACAATATCATAGAGCAACAGGGGGCCTAGAATTACACGGATTAATAATGATGCTAATTAGTAAGATGGGAGAACCCCCAGTCACGGAGCAAGATCCCATGGAGTTAGGTGCTGTGCAAACATAGATCAAAAGAACATCCAATCAAAGCACAGTGAGAAATGTCAGTGGTCAGTCCATAGTTTACATAATTTACATATACCTAAATGCAGAACAATAATGCGCCACTCTGATGTCGTGCTTTTCAAGCGTTCAGAAATCAGGAGGCAGGACCCTCCCCCCCCCAAATTGTGAGGATGTAAAAATAATGAACTAGAAAATAGCAAGCAAGATAAAGCTGGATGGTTTATTTGCCTGCCGATTTCGGAGGACTGCGGGTAGACATTTTCTCTGGGATTGCGAGAAACTGAAGAACAATTAAAAA